GACACAAGGGAATGGCTTCAGAGGGCAGGGACAGATGGGATATTGGGAAGGAATTCCTGGCTGGGAGGGTGGGCAGGCCCTGGCACAGGTTGCCCAGAGAAACTGTGGCTGCCCCTGGATCCCTGGAAGTGTCCAAGGCCAGCTTGGATGGGGCTTGGAGCAGCCTGGGCTGGTGGGAGGTGTCCCTGCCCATGGCAGGGAGTGGAGCTGGGTGAGCTTTTTAAGATCCCTTCCCACCTAAACCATTCAATGATTCTTCCCCAGCACACACCTGAGGCCAGGGACATCCCAGTTTTAAACACCCTCTGGTGAAGCTGCACCTCAGCCCCTCCGCCCCTGCAGAGAGGAGCTTTGGGGTGCACTGGGGTGTCAGGACCAGGTACCAGCTCTGACAGTGCCCCCTCCATCCCTGCACAGCACTTGGCCCCTCATTATCCAGCCCTTCCCTGGAATTAGGTGGGAGGTTGCTGTTAATCAGCTACAAACGATTAAGTCATTGGCCAAACTACTCTCCTGCTACTTTTGCAAGGAATTAGGCCTCTATAAAATCAAGCAGCATGAATCTTAGAGATTTACACGGTGCTTTTTTAACAGTTTTCAGTATATTTCAATAGTTAATAAAACTAAATGCTGCTTTGTGTAAAAGGTAATAGATTACAATCGGGTGTATTTTACTAGCACTCAGTGTGTTCATCTAACACCTCATACGTTCACGTTGGAATCCACGAAAAGCACTTTGTGGAGATTAAAAGCAGATTTATCACAGATGTGCCTCAGCATTATGCTTGGCTTGAACCATTAGACTCCTGGAGTTTAAAGGTTAGACTTTAATGACTTCAAGGAAGTCGGTTGCTTTTTAAGGCTTTAAATAAGCAGCTCGGATAGTCCCGGCATTCCCAAACAGGGCCGACTGGTTCCGGGCTGCTCCGAGTTCCCCCGGCCGTGTCTGCTCCGTGCAGAGCCTGGAAGCAGACACAGCTCAGGAGTTTGGCCCTCATGCAAATTAATAACAAGTTATTTACCAGATGAAAGCATTGCCTTGAAGACTGTTCTCCCCACACCTCGGAAGGATGGGAGGGATGAGCTGCGAGCTGTGCTGCCTGATTGTGGAATCCTGGAATGGTTTGGGTGGGAAAGGAGCTTGATTGTCATCCAGTTCCACCCCCTGCCATGGGCAGGGACACCTCCCACCAGCCCAGGTTGCTCCAAGCCCTGTCCAACCTGGCCTTGGACACTTCCAGGGATCCAGGGGCAGCCACAGCTTCTCTGGGCAAC